TTGTATATTTACAATAAATATACTTTCCCAGTTTCAGCGTGGGAAAGAAACTGAAATAGGTTTTCTTCCAGAACAATAAATTGTGACTGGTTACAATACTAGTCAATTTTATTGTAATCTATATTATTGTTAATCTGTATTCTTATTGATATTAAGCAGATATCGTTAAAACGATCAAAATATTATGAATTAATATAACAAATATATTTTTTTCCCGCAATACAAATTATAATTTAGTGTAAAATGAATTTATTGCATGTTCAAATTATATACAATTACAGTCGTTGTCACTGTTCTTATGATTAGAGCCTATATACACTATTTTTTGTAAAACTAACATAATTTAATATAAATTAATGTGAGATATTGTAAGGAAGTGAGGATAGCACTTATTTTTTTAACAAGTGCTAATGCTTATTGCAAATATGAGTATTTATAACAGTTACTATACTTATTACATAGTTAATCTAAAACTGGGACGGTTTTGTAGTCTCGAGTAGTTTCGAGAAAATTTGTGAAGGAAGATATTAACTTATTTAAGCAATTTGATACTATGCACGTGTTAGTTGCTTAATGTGTGCTTCACCGTGACCGGGTATGACATTTTTTACACTAGCCACACAAGTTTGTTTTAATGATTTGTCTGGCGCACGCTTCGTACATTCATCGAAATAGCATTTCTCTACGTTGTGTAAAAATTCTACAATTAATTTATTGTCGCCTCCATTTGGACCAACAAAATATTCGCACTCATAATTATATTGCTTCAGGTCACGTACACAGCAATCAAGAAATTCCGAATTAGCAGAGTACCAAGCATTCAAAGTTTGTATTGGAATTTTTAGCTTTTCACGTAGAATTCCAGTTACCCAAGTATCATCAATCCAAAAAAAATTACTTTGCTGTGCTTCATATACTAGTTTTGTAGCAGTTGCTGAATTCGTTATATAAAGCCAGCCGGATAAATAATCAGGATAGATATCCCCAATATACTCTTGCGAAGAAACGAACCATTTGTTGGCAATATTACGTTGGGGTATTGTATTACGTAAAACATAACCAGATAATAGATTGTCAGATGAAGCCAATTCTGCGTGTTGCACTTCTAACAATTCCAAATAGCGACGTAGTTGAAATACATCATACACAATATCATCATCTATTTTAATAATAAATTTTGCTTGCTTGCATTCAATTGCTGCCCAACGTAAGCCCATAATATGTTTATAGCTGAGATTGCGATATGCCTCCATGAAGTTACCTTGCAATAAATCGCCGAAGCGTTCCTGCTCATTTTGCAGTTGATTTTGATTGATGAAATGTTCAGTTTTTGGTATTTCAGCTAAAAGAAATACACGCTTAAAACCTAGTTCAGCAAGTTTAACTTGGCTAATAGCCTGCCGGTGCGCAGAACGCAATTCATCATGTCCAGCGTATGAAGTCACAATTATAATTGCTGGTAGAAAAAAAAAATGGTTTATGTATGCAATTGCTTAAATAATAATTTTACTTACCTAAGAATTCTTTTTTATTATTGCATAAATTATTTTCCAATGTGTATGCAAAATTTGTTAAGTTTGGTAATTGTTGTCCATGAATTTCGAAATTCATGTCGCTTTCGTCCCAACTAAGAAGCGTCAAGAATTCATCGCCTTTTACATTATTCGTGAAAAAAATTGTGCCAATAAAAATGAGTACTATAATAGCCACCAATGCAAGCAGCTTGCATTTAATGCGTCCAGGGATTCTCATTTGGAATGTGTGTATTTTTTGAAACCACCACAAAATAATTTAAAACATTTGTTTTGCTTAGGATCTGCAGTAAACAAATATACAAAAACATTAACAGCTGTTGTGTCGCCACTGAACAATGAACAACAAAATTTCCCACTTAAAGCAGGTAATAAATATATTTTTTTTGTTGATATTTAAAATTTGACATTTCCACTAAAAATTTCCCTAACAACATTGAACAAGTGACAGTTCGCATTCTTGTTGCTATTTGACGCACGTGTATTACCTTTTTCGGCTAAAATTGTTTCAGAATTAAATATATTTTTATATATAATTATATTAAGCGTATTAATAAATATTATTACGTGCGCGAGGTTAAGAAACGATAATATATTAAAAAGCCTACTAAATGGATAAGCGCCATAAGCAGAAAAATAAGAATGCGGATAAGGGTAAAAATACTGCAACGCAAGCCAAAAATAAAAATGCCAAACGCCCAACAATAACATTTCAAAAACGCAACGAATTAAATGCTTTGGTAGCAGAGCTATGGAAACTAAGTGTTAAAGATTCGAAAACATCTCCTGATATTGAATTTGCAGAATATGTTAAGATACAAGAGCTTTTAAATGAAATTTTAATCTTAGAAGCACCGTTACGACGTGAAAATGTAAATACTACTCCAGAGGCTCGCTTGAAACATATTGATGCTTTTTATGAGTGGGCTATGGAGAATGGACTCAAGACTGATTGTGTTAAAATTGCAGAATTTCCTGGTTATGATCTTGGTTTGAAGGCAACACGGGATATAGCTAAAGATGAAGAAATTTGTACTGTTCCGCGTAAGCTAATACTGTCAGAAGAGAGTCTTGATAAGCGCGTTACTGAACAGCTTTCTTTGGGTTCAATGACAAACATAAAACTAGCATATGTTCTTATAATCGAAGCTATGAAGGAGGCCAGCTTTTGGAAACCCTACATAGATTTGTTACCGGATAAATATACTAATGTTCTGTACTTCACAGTCGAGGAAATGAGTGCACTTCGGAACTCTTGCGCATTTTCCCCTGCTATACGCCAGTGCAAATCAATTGCAATGCAATATGCGCTAATATACAGCTGCGCACACAAAGCGGAACGCACCAATAATGGAACAGCAATTAGTAAAGTTTTCGCTGAACATTTTAACTACGATCTGTATCGGTGAGTCCATTTTATATATTTTGATAAGAGTAACTATTTATTTAATACTGTCTAACTTGGAATTAAACTTAGAATGTTTAATATTAGGTCTAACATACGATATGCGTAATAGGATTATTGTACCACGGATAGTTGTTTTGTTTTTGCGGAAGCCTGTTTACATTTAGTTGTCGGGAATCAATGGCTTCGGAACATAGGCTTCTGTTATCAGTATTTTAAATTTGATACAGTCTGTCAAATAATTATAGGTGCATTATTGTATTTATGTTTTTTTAATATTTTATATACTTTTTTCGAATTTTGGAAAATGCATTATTATTACATGGAATGTTGTTCTTGCTATGCAACAAAAATTCTGTCATTATACTGTACTTCGCTGTACAGTTACTTTAAAAATTATACCGTGCATTGGGTATTGCATAATAAATAATTATATTATATGTGCAAAATATTTCTATTGTTCTAAATTGTAATATAATATTTAATCTTGTTAGGCTATAATGCCGCGTGGTACTAGTTTGCCTGATTACGAACATCGAATAATCAGAAAGATCGCCGAAATAGCGACTAGACTCAACCGGCATAGGAACTGTGTTTCCAGGTTTCTGACGGAATATAATACAGCTCCACGCAGTGGCTAGAAGACCAAAATTAATGACCGATGCAAGTGCCGAATTTGACGTCTGGCAATGGAAAATTGGATGAACAGCGGAGAAATAAGGGCTCATATGTTATGGAACTTCAAATAACAAGGAGTATAATGTTTTAAATTATTCATAAAAATTACTTCCTTAAATTTAGCACAATGGTACCTTTTCGAGAGGCATATCACGACCCGTTTAGAATTGCAAATAAATACCCATTCTGGGTCAAATACTGTCAGAATGTCGTCTTTAGTGGCGAGAAAAATTAATTTAGACAATTTAGACAATTTAAGACAATTACAAAAAATATTGACTTGATTTACGTCAGGATCAGGTATCCTGCAACAAGTGCGATTTCGGTGGCGGGAACGTTATGGTATGGGCTGGCTTCTGCTACAAAGGAGAGACTTCTATATGCTTTATATGTACTCGAATGAATGCCAGCATATTTGTAGAGCATGTGGATACTGCGTTAGTGGAGTTTCCTGGTAATTTATATGGCGATGATGGGATCTACTAACAGGATAATGCATCAATTGACAATGCACAGACAACAAATTTATTTTTTGGTGACAGAAAAATTCCTGTATTGAAGTGGAAAGTATTGAATCTCAATTTAAATCTCATTAAGAATATATGGGCGATCCTTTTTGCCCATGATTTTAAAAATGGAACACAATTTGATATGGCACGACACCTTAAATCGGCTATAGAACGCGGGTGGGTTAAAATTGGCAAGTCTATTTTATATTCACTAGTCAATTCTATGTTAAGCCGGTTTGATTTAGTTTTAAATAACAAAGAAAAAAGTATTAACTATTAATATTAAAAAAAAGTTCAATCACATCAACATTTATTAAATTAACAGACCAAAATAAAAAAATGCACATATAATTATTTACTATGCAAGTAATCTTTAAATAAGTGTTTTTATTATAAATTTGATTTAAATTTGGTACTTTGTTGTTTTTTTACATCGTACATCATATTATAAATATAACCACATACCCAGAAAAAATTTAAAATATTTTAATTTTTTTAAATTTTGAAAAAATGTGATGCACATATAATTATTTGTCTGAAGTATAATAGTGTTAACCATCTTACCTATTTCATTAAGAAATTGTTGTTATCAAATCAGATCGCGTATTTTATTATATCATTTCTTATTCCTCTCTAATATTTAAAAGAGTTGATAACAGAACCATTATCGACTAGTTTTATGCTTTTTTGTTCTGGTTTGTTTTAAATTTCGATAATGACTGTGATCAACCCATTAAGTCCCAAGTCAAAAAAAAACTTGTTTTTTGTGTTCATCTAGACTAATTTTAATCCAAAAATATGATTTTGCAATCAGTTATTAAGGACTAACCGTTGACCTGTTACGGATGTTCAATTTTTCGAACAATGGGCATCATTTAAGCAAATATTTGTTTACAGTCGAAAGCAAGGTCGCATCTGGATTTTGCTTGAAATAATAAACCAGCAGTTGCTTATAAGAGTTAATATTATTGGTATGGGATATGGCACTATGACCGTCGTGTCTATTGTGCTTCTGGGCTTAGAGTATGTCTCCAAGCTCTGTTGTTTCAATAAAGATAAATGTAGAACCTTCATTACAGAGGATAATTGCCTCTTCCGAAGAGTTTATGTTGAAAGGTTTTCTTTTAAGAGCTTATTTTAATAATTTTAAGTAAATTAAATTAAACAGGTATTAACTTTTTCATGAAACTCTTCGAAGCATTTGGAGTGCAGATGCCGAGTTCAGTCTTTGTAAGTAGGCTTATACATAGTCGTTACGTTTTATAGTTGTGATAAATTATAACATATTCACCAAAACTGTTTGGAAAATAAAGCGTTAAACTATCATAATCTTCAATATTCATATCTTCCTCTTTGGTAGGTAAAGAGCGCACATCATCTTCTAGTAGCAATCTCTTAACGATTTCAACGCGAAAATCTTTTTGAGCCATATGTTTTGTATTTTCTGTTTTTGTTACAAAACAATACAATTTCCATGCATTTACTATAGCTGCATTAAATAAACATTTTGTAAATGGTCAGCACCATTTCTTCGATCTAATATTCATTCGATAACTTTGTCCTACGTTGTCGTGTAAGTTTATGCTACCCATGCCACTGTTATAGTTTCTTATAAAATGAGGCTGACTGTTTATTAGGCTGTTTAGCCATATTTAATATGTAGATTCTATTGCATAAAAATTCTGCCACTGATTGTTCTGACACTGACAAACTAAAATTTCGTTAGTTGTGTCGTAAATGTAATCATACTTTTCATGTGGCAAACCGTTACCACCGAGCAATGGGGCGTTATCGGAGAACTGTTCCAGTTTAGCGCATATCTTTTTTAGTCTATAAGCACATTAGATGATATAAGGTAAAGAAATTGTCATAACGATCTAAGACTGGTATTTAACATGCTCAATTAATCTCACGATCACATCTGTTGAAAGCCCAATCTCTTTTTGAAGCTTTTGTTGCAATAACTTTAAAATAGGAGAAAATTTAGATCCATTCTAAATATTGTTTTGCATTTCTAACAAATATAGGAATAAGGCATGCACGGATTTATATATCCTTCAGAATTGCGTAAGCACTTTTGTTATCAAATCTGATAGGTTAATTTCTTAAGTATATCTTAAAATTGTATTTTCCAAAATAGGGTAGCTACACAGTTCCTGCGGTGATAACATCTTCGTTATAATCCCACAATTTTATAATCTATTCAGTTTCATTGTTAGTACTCTCTGTGCCATTGTGGGAAATGAAAACTGAAATAATCACGCAAAAATTCTTCTAAAACAAGGATTCACTATGTTTCCGATTCCACTAAATTTATATTAATTAAACATTCTAGTACAACGAAATATTTTAATTTAATAACGCACCAAATTTCAAATTATATTTTTTTGAAAAAATCACAAAGAAACAAAAATATGTCAATTATTTAAAAACTTATTTAAAAAAATATTGCCTAAGAGAAGCCCAGTGTCTAATTTTTCGAACCCATACTCAATAAGTATAATATGAATACACTTATTGAGTATGTCATTATTTTATTATATTCATTGGTAAAAAAACATATACTACTATTATTGTCCATTGTTGTAATCGAAAGATGTCGTTCCATGTATGTTATATTATGCTTCAGCTTAGTTAGCTTAGTTTCGACCGTTCTTCTCCACGTTTTTGCTGACACATCAGGTGCTCTGTTACGTTGTGGATTCCATGCCAACGCTTGCCACGCTACGTAATATCTCGATTGCCTAAGCGTATGGCCTATCGAATTCCACTTACTCATTTTTCTCTCATTTTGTGTTGCTTTTTGAATCGTTTGGTTTAGCAGGAGTTCATTTGATATTCGATCTGGCGCCATCATATTTTCAGAATTCTTCGTAGACAGTTGTTGACAAACACTTGTATCTTTCTCTCTATATTTCTGGAGCGCTTCTATGTTTTACATCCGTAGTATAAGATAGATTTTACATTTGTGTTGGAAGTGTGCAGTTTGGTCTGCCCTATGAGTTAACTGGACTCCCATATGTTTTTCAGTTTCTCAAACGCAGTTTTCACTTTGTTGATCCCAGCATCAACATCTTCATCAGATCCGCTCTAATTTGTCACAATGCTTCCCAGGTAGATAGAAAAGTTTACACATTCTACTTCTTCTCCATTATTTACGTGCAACCTAACATTCTGAACTGTTTTTTCAGTGCATATTCTTATACTGACAGACAGCTTGTTTGCTTATAGCGGATATAATTTGCTGTGATTCATAAAGTCTGTGACTTAATAGCAGGACATCATTGGCGAATTCTATACACCTGGTATTTTTTAACGCTCTGTTGAGAATATCATCTAGCGCGAGAATGAAAAGCAATGGTGACAGTTTACACCGTTGTCCTGTACACCTGTTTTGATGTCAAAAGACTCTGAGAGGGTTGACATTTTGGATTACGCAACACTTGCGCGAGAATGAAAAGCAATGGTGACAGTTTACACCGTTGTCCTGTACACCTGTTTTGATGTCAAAAGACTCTGAGAGGGTTGACATTTTGGATTACGCAACACTTAGTATTCTTATACAGCTCCTTCAGAAGGTTTATAATTTTTTTTTTTGGCATCCCCCTTTTAAAGAGTGCTGCCCAAATGTATAGTCGGTTTAAGTTGTCAAATGCTTTTTCGAAATCTACCAAGGCCACTAGGATAATAGCTCTAAGATAATGCGAATTGTATTTATCATATCACAAGAAAGATATTCTATTTATATTCTGTGAGCATAGTAATAACAAGAATGTGCTGTCTTTATCTGCTATATAACCTTACCATTTTGCATGATTATCTATTAGATACGAGCCTATGAGTAATCCTATACGTAGAATAAGATTTTTCTGAGTAAGATTTATTACACAACCTGCTCGTTCAAAATTTAAGAGTACCTATATGTCACGGTTATTCACATGTTCCAAATTCGAATTGGACAGTTTTTAGACTGCCATATAAAAACATCAAAATAGATTCGGCTTTTCATTTCACAAAAGGTAGAATGGTAACCCTCATTTATTAATATCTATGAGTAAATGCGTAACCCATTTTTCTAACAGCGTTCTCATTTTCAAATTTTCGTGTAAAATATAATCGAGTCGTTCTTCTTATATTTTGACAATGTCAATTATTTCTTCCTTCTTCACTCAAAACAATGGTTTTTTTTTCTTTTTCCGATGAGTTCCTATAACATAGTACCTATAAAAGTTTTCAAAAAGTAATTTTTTAGCGATGGTTTCACCTACCAAATAGCAGTATTTAATTAGTAAATGGAACCTTTTTTCATTGTGTTTTGAATAAATTTTTTAGCGATGGGC